GCCGAGCAGATCGTATGGAGCAGGAGCTCTCCAGAGCTGAATCTAGGTCAAGCCAAGGCAGATCACAGGGTTTTTTGGGTGTTTGAATGATCACAGTAGATCCCGCTCAAGAATAGTGCTTCTTCTGCATGTTTTAATCCATTGAAACAAAGGGCTGGAGCAGGCTCCAAGCTGCAGAGACTGTAGCGTTGCAAGGCAGCACTGGATCTTCTCTTGGTTAATAGAGCCAACCTTATACAACAGAGAGCAAACATGGGAGCTTTCGAAGGGACTGGCTCCAAATCTGGTCCTGGTGGGGATGGTGACAAGTAAACCAGTGCTCCATGAAGTAGGCAGATGCGTGAGGTAGGTCATTTAGCTGCAAGGAGTCGTTGCCTATGGCAGCGGTGAGCTTAAGGCCTGAGATAATGTCTGCCTTCTCTGGGCTGAATTTTATCTTACAACGTTGTCTGATTGGCAGGTTGCTGCATTCCTGTTCCCAGGTAGTGCCCCTCCACTTAGCCAGGGCTAGTTCTGCTCCAGTACCTGCTGGAAGGAGCGGAAATGTGAGTATAACAAAGGATGGAAGCCTTCCTCACGCTAACTTTTGTCTGCAAACCTTCCAGGAGCTTGTCTTTCTCCTGTTCTGCATTTTCAACCTGCCTTTCCTTCCCTGGGAGCACTCCTTCCCCTCTCTATTCCTGGAGCCAGGGAGGACACACCTTTCCATACTGCCTCATCCTTGGCTAGTGCTGTGTGCTTTGTCAGCTTGCCTGACTTCTGCACCAAGCCAGGCTCTAGGGAGGGACCCTGGGGTGGTTGCAGTTAATCTCATATTATTCTCATGCTTGCTGCAAGACATTTTGCTGCCTTTTTCCTTTGTCAATGCACTGCAATCCTAAAGGACAACTTTCTACATTATAATCTGGGTGTGGCTGGCTTGTGCTTGCATCCTATGGAACTTGATGCCAACAGTTTGCTTGGGAGAATGGTGTTTGTTGTGTAGGTGCTAAAATAACTCTGCAGCTTGATGACAGCTTAACAGTTTTAGTAAGGTAGACAGGCAGTGAGAGCACTCTAGAGCAGTTCCTGAGAAATGCTAGGATGCCAGTATTAAATTCCAGCGTGGGAGAACATTGATTTCATCAGTTGCTATCTGGCAGCACTCTGCTGCTGCCTGTGAATTTATGCAGGGTTTATTTTTCAGTGCTTGCTGATTTCACCTTGGGAGACAGGTTCAGTCCTACAGCCTGTGTGACCCTGCTCTGAGGTCCCCTTAGATGAGAAGCACCCCATATGTAAAGATGGTCTTAAGTCATAAGGGTACTACTTGGTATGGTGGTAGTCTACTTCTTGCCAGGAGATAAAGGAGGAGTACAATTAGCTGGTATTAGGACTACACCCCACTTCCTTAGGGTGGCTTGAGGAGCTTCATGTTGGAAAGTGACTGCAGGTGTGAAGCAGTATTTGAGAGCTCTGTCAGGATTTCAGCTCACTGTTACTTAGAATCATAGATTCATAGAATAGTTTGGGTTGGAAAGGACCTTAAGATCATCTAGTTCCAAACCCCCTGCCATGAGCAGGGACACCAGACACTAAACTATGTCGCCCAAGGCTCTGTCCAGCCTGGCCTTAAATGCCTCCAGGGTTGGAGCATTCACAACTGCCTTGGGCAACCTATTCCAGTGCCTCACCACCGTCACTGTGAAGAACTTCTTCCTTGTATCTAACCTAAAGTTCCTCTGTTTAAGTTTAAACCCATTACCCCTTGTCCTACCACTAGAGTCCCTTGGAAGGGAGTTTCTCAAGAGGGATTCTTCTCTTTACCTCCCAGGGATCATTTCCCATTGGAACGCAACCTTCCCACCTTAGCTAATAGGATTAGGAAAAACCCCATAGGCAGATTTCCTGCAGGTCACAGCCAGCGAAGGGAAGTTTGCAGATATTACACTGTATCTTTGCCACCCTCCCTTCTTTTCTAATCCTAACTACATTAATTTATTCAGTGCTGGTTCCCGGAGACAAAATTAATTGGGCCAAGACAGCAGCTTTTCCCTGTAATTGCTTATGTAGAAAAGGCTTGTTGAGTATCTTCTCATGTAAATCATTGCCCAGCAGTCTGAAATCATCCCACACTCTTGTGGCTGCTAATAAGAGAGATTTGAAATACGGCTCTCTCAGCGCAAACTCTGCGTGAAATGTAACATACTTGAGTGTACTACATTACACCCAGTAATACACAGCATATGCTGGCGTTTTACTTTGGTGCCTGTTTCTTTCCCAACACAGTTGATGGAGCCCTGTTCCCCCGGCCAGCATTTGTGCTAGGGAAGCCATGGCTTCTTGGCATGTGAAACTGGAGCAGAGGGAGGGAAGAACTTATATTTTCAGCTCAAAGGCAGTGAAAACACATTTTGGATCAAGATTATCCAGCATATGGCTGAATGCTCTCAAAACAGATTTGAATTGGCTTGTTAGAGTTTCAGTCAGGTCCCCATAGAGATCAAGGCCCGTAGGCAACACCAGGTACGTGCCTGGGTGTAGACCAGGCTTAGCTGTTGTGTTCTGTCTTTTAAGCAGTTTAGCCAGACTGCTGCAAGAGCTTTTGTGGTCTTAATCTGTTTCACTGGTATCAAAGAGTTGACTGAGGGAAGGTAAACTGCTGTCAGCTAATCCTGAATCAGAAGCAGTTCAAATCCTGGCAGAAGTCAACTGCCTCATCCATTTTCACATAGATCAGCATAAGGATGCTGAAGAGCACATGCACTGTGTGCTGCTATTCCTTATAGTGCAAGAGGCCTTGCACCAAAGATTACCTTGGCTGGAAGCCTAGACAATGGAAAGGGAATGGAAGGAGACTGACTCCTATCACCTCCTAGCTAACTGCAGAAGCTGGGAAGTTCCCAAGTCCAGTGCCTGCTGGATTGTTGTGTCCTTCCAAGACAATGAGGTGATCTGCCTTCTGAAATGGTGTATAAGGGAGAGATTCCCCCTCCTCCACATTATGGCAGTGCCTTTGGAATCCCTTTCCCATGTGAGCATTCCCTTCTCTAGCAGTGTCATACTTGCGGCTTTTGGAGCTTGAGGGCCTCTGACACTGGTGATTCCAGCTGGCCTGCCCCATCCACAGCTTTTGGCTGGCAAGTGGAGACAAGGAATGGGGCTGAGTTGCCTTTTGAAAGAGCTCTTCAAAAGACACACCAGATGAAATAAAAGCCATTTAAGAAGGCTAGAAATCCTGACCAGACCAGTTCAGGAAAGCTTCTGGAAAAAACCCTTTCATTCATTTTAGTGCAATATCTTAATTTAATCTGAGAACCCAAAGAACTTGCATCAACAAAGAGTTCTGTTCAGAAAAACAGAAATCCTCAGACAACCCCTACAGAATAAGAGGCAATGAGGCTGCATTCGATGAGAGAATAGAGTGCCTTGTGTCACCCACATAAACCACATTGCTGCCAAGTGCTTGGTGAGTAGTCTTTGTGACATCTCTGTTCTTGTACTTAGTATTTGACTGGACAAGGATCAGAGTAATGGGATGTAAATTTGAAGCTGGCCTTACTTTCAGAGAGTTGGATCAGATCACCTCCACGGATTCCTTCTAACATAACATGTTGTAGGGTTCTATGGTGGGGTAATGGGTATTTTGGCCTGGGCTGGGTTTTGTTTGTTCATTTGGGTTTTTTTTAGGGGGAATGTTTCTTTTGCTTTACAAAAGCAGCTTTGTTACCCAGGTTTTAAGGCTGGAGAAGAAATGTCCCGTGTCCCACAGTGCACTAGAAAGACAAGCAGTAGTCAAATGCACCTGTAGCTCACCAGGCAGTTCTAGTCATGGCATGATACTGCCCTCCAGAGATGTCTCACTGTCCCATTCAGCAGGGCTTTGGCATGTATTTATAAATGCAATATCCCATGTGCCTGCACCAGAAAAGACCTTTATTATCATTTCAGCTGGGCAGTAAAGCTATGCCACCCCCTCTGTAACTTATCCCATGCCTGACTCATTACAATGACATCAGGCTCCATCTCTGTGTGCAGAGATGAGTTACCACTTTTGCTCCTGTGTTTGACATCCTGCTGTGAGGGTGCTGACTTACCTCCCTGGGTCAGTGCAAGATCTTGGAGCTCTTTATTACTGTAGTGGATGGCAGGTTTGGAAATGGTCCAAATTAGGCCAAGAAGTCCCCTCTTATGACAACCTAGCGCCCTCTGTGAGAGGACCACTTTGCAGCTCAGCTCCTGGTAGACAAGGAGACATGGTCAGAACAGCCTAATGGGCATCCCTGCTGGTGCTGTCAGCAAGGGGACTGCAGTGGCACTGACACCTCTCACTTTTATCCTCTCTTCAGCGTGGAGGGGAAGCTTTGTCTCACTACTGCTGTTCTCCCACCAGCAGAACTGTTTGCAGTGGTAGTGCAAGGAAGCTGAGGTGTGGCTTTACTCCTCTTTGATCAGCAGAATGTCATCTGGATGAGATGCTCTTTCAGCCTGCTACAGTGCTTTCGCAAGCAAGAGCTTTCCTGGTACCTCCAGTGATGTCTGCTCTGTTGAAAGCAATGGTTACTAAAGTCAGAGCCATCATCTCTAGCCAACTGGTGCAGACAAGTCCATTTCTACTATGTAGATTTAAGCCTCTTCCTCTGCCCACCTAAGAAGAAATCTTTAAGGCAAAGCACCCCTCTGCATCCACAACACCCCTCATACAGGATGGCAAGGGATGTTGTTGACTATCCTACTGAAGATGTTAAATGAACAGGCTTTGTGGGAGACATGCAGGACTGATTTTTGCCTCTTGCTTCCCTGCAGTGAGCAAGCACCTCAGACATTAACACTCCAGTGTATTGGCTTCCTGCACACCAGAGATGACAGTTTCAGTCATCAGAGCCCTGCTGAAGGGTATAGCAGTAGCATGTGTGTTTGCTGCAGTCCTGCACCATCAAGTGATGTCTGATACATTCTCCATCACACGTGGCTATGCAGCAGTATTTTGGCTCCATGCGCTGCAAGGAGCAAAAACCTTGGAAGTCTGAAGAAACTACACAGAAAAAGGTCCAAGAGTAACCAATAAACAGATCAAAGCCCATGCATCTTTGGCAGTAGCAGGCCACAGGCAGCCACTGTTCTGCTGGAAGCAATCAGGAGTCTCAGAGGTCAAAAAAATAGGTCACATTTCCAATTGGGACACTGAACACAGAAATGGAGCAGATCCACTGCTTATGTAGTCACATTTGAATGATGATGCCATGTTTGTGTAGCACTTATTGCATACCAAACACCCCGTCAGTCGGAGTGAGGAAGGTATTACTGGAAAGGGATCTGTGGAATAGCTTCTACAGAACAACATTCTCTCACTTTAGAGCCAAATTCATTAGGTGTGGAACTTCTCTTGTCTCCAAGCTCTGAAATATGCTGCCTGTATCTTGGCACACAGGATACAGGAAAATCCCCACCCAGGTGACTGCATGTTGTATACCTCTACATATGTCTAAACATTGCCTCTTCATGCACGGACCTGCCCTCCTCTGCTGGCCTTCCCTACTTTTGGGCTCCCAGCAGTGTAACAACAAGTGGGCTGAAAGCAGCACTACATTGTGCCTTCTGATCAGCTTGGGACTATGAATTCCTTCAGGACTGAGTTGAGGAAATTTGCTTTAGATTCAGTTTGCAAGGCCTTTGGTTTTAAAGAAAAAGGAAAAATGAATGATTTGGGGAAGCAACTCATCCCATCCATCCTTCAGGTCAGTGGTGTTTTAGAGCCTTTCCTAAAGATGCTTGGGCCTGGAGGAAAGGGAGGGAGAAATACTTTAGAAGAGAAGAGGCAAAGAAGGCAGAGGAAAACAATGCTGAGACATTGACTTTCTAAGAATTCAGTCCTGGCAGTGGTCTTAGTGTGGTAGTTACGTACGTAATGAGGGTGGTGTGATGGCAGTGGGAATAGAAGCTACTTACAAAGCACAAAGTTGTATATTAAAGCAGATAAGTCAAGAGTGCACGTTGTGCTCAGACAGCTCTCAGGCCTATTAAAGTCTAGAAGCTGTGCTAGCTGCTAAATAAATCAGGGAGAGTCACTTGAGATCTGCAAGCTGGAAGAGGAGGGTTCCCCTTTAAAGATGGGCTTCCTATGCACATCCTTACACACTTAAGTGATGGCCCCATACGTCTGAGCTCTCTCTGGAAATGCTAACCTAACGCTGAACTGCTTAGAGAGAGTACAAGGTTATTAGCTTCATCAGGAAATAGAAACTTGCCCTTAATATACATGTGGAATTGAATTGTCTGCAGCACGATGCTTTGGAGATTACCCATGCAAAATGAGAAAACAACCTACATTTTAAATTGTCCTCAGTACCATGGAAAGTAATTTTGCAGCATGTTGCCCCTCTTCACCTTGCCACGGCAAGATCTGCAGAGATGGGCTCTATTAATTTAGGCTTAAATGCAGGACCTGAGGCGTCTTAGAAACAGATGCTGGTAAGAGGAGAAATAAGCTTTTCTCAAAGTAATGTAGGCCTAGGCCAGTAGGTTTCTGCTGTGCACGTTTGAGGGTAACTTCCAGGTCAGAAGGATGGTTCAAATGTGTCAGACCCTTCAGACACAGACTTACTTAGGACTCAGTCACCTACTAAAAGCTTCAAGAGCTGGCTGAAGACAGGGCAGGCAGAGGCAAAGAACAACAACTGATGTGACCTCTCAGTAGCAGAGTTGTTTCTCTAGCTGGCCAGCCCATTGCAAACCTCCAGGGAGGACCACACAGCCTTTTCCAGCATTCCAGGTAGCTGTTCATGTTTCACACAAGGGCTGGTTGCATGAATGACGTGCCACAGAGGAGAGACAGAGTCAGGCAGCCCCTTTCTTTTGTAGGACACACCAGTCCTCGGTGTAGGGCTTGGGACCTGCTCAGCAGCAGGAGGTGATGCCCACGAAGCTGTAACAACCTTACTGGTGCTTGCCAGTGGGAATGAGGGGGTAAAAAAAGCCAACTAGGATGTCTTAAGGGTGCAGCTTCCCAGTGCTGATGATGTGTCACTTCTTGTAAAATCCAATCCAAGCTAAGAGACCCAGCCCTGTACCTTGTGGCCTGGCAAAATATATTGGATAATAACAATCCAGTTCTACTCTGCCACAAGTACCATCTTGCCCAGAGATGATTGTTTTTTTCCCCACCACTGTTTAGCAGCAGTCCCAGGTACAGTTGATAGATTTAGGTGGGTTTGTTGAGATCTCATCTTTTGCTCCTCACTACTAGAATTGCGCTTAACCTGTGTATCAGAAGCTCTGCCATCATCCAGGACCTCCTGGGTCACACACTGCTGGTTGTCTTGACCTGCAGTCCACTCATAAGCAGCATCAAGTACAAGGAGGTCACAAAGCAGGAAAAGAAGCTGTGGATGCTGCAGCTATGGGTTATGCCCTCCAGAAGCCTGTCTAGAAGGCTTATGCCCTAGATGAGGCTGGAAGCTGGGCTTTTAGGTTCACTAAAACAGCCAGGGCGCAGAGCAAGAAAGGTGAACTTTTCTGGTGAGTGCAACCTTTATGTTCCTTTTGCAGGCATTGCTGTGCTGTATTTGCATCTATATGATGTGTATGGAGACCCAGCCTACCTTCAGGCAGCCCATGAGTACGTAAAGAAGAGCCTGAGCTGTCTGACAAGACGATCCATCACGTTCCTGTGTGGAGATGCCGGGCCCCTGGCAGTGGCTGCTGTTGTCTACCACAAACTGCAGAACCAGAAGCAGTCAGAAGACTGCATCACTCGGTAAAAAGCTTGGTTATGTCTTGGACCTAATGTTCCTCTTGCTCATAGAGCTGGTCTGGGCTTGTACTGGGCACTCTCTGCCAAGCCTGGATACAGTTTTTGCAGCCTTATGAGCTGGATAATCCAGTAACATAAACTAGTTCTGCCATGAGCTCAAGGACAAACGTGCCTGTCTGGCAGCCTGCAGGCTGGGGAGCAAGTTCAGCTGCTATTGCCATCTTAAAAATAGTTCTGATCAACACAGGAAGACAAAAATGCCTGAATTAAACCCCATAAGGTGAGGTTTGATATATTTTCAGAACCCTTCAATTTAGCTTTGCAGCCATTCTGATGAAGAGGAGAAAAGTGGTCGGATTATTAGATAAATTTTGTCACTTGCTTCCACTTTCTATTTGTTAGTACACTTTGACTTAAACCTAAGATTGACAGCATCCTTTCAACTGCTGAATGCAGCTGGTTATGATTCATTTCTTTCTATTTCTATTTCCTGCCTTTCCTCAACTGTTTCAAATGTATTTTTGTTGGGTACTTAAAGACAAAAAAAGGACAAATAAAGCGGTCCTACAGTCGGATCAGCATGTGGCAGAGGAAGGAAAAAAGTAAAGGAGATGCAGTTGCAAGCTTTTCCTGCTTAAGGGAGATCAACTTTAAGAAGGTGAGAAACAGCCCTGCAAAGAGTCTCCATTTACCTGTGGTCAGCACAAAACCAAGACAAAACCCCTGAGGCTTCAGAACACTGAGTGCCCTTGAACAGCCATGAGCAAGTGATGTGTAATAGCAATTAAAGAAAGCCACGGGTGGGAATCAGGTGCCTGTATGTTTGGACACCCCTTACCTAAGAATAGCTGCTGGTTTACGTGGATATAGTCAGTCTGAGGACAGAATCTTCTTTATTCTTGAAATAATCTGTGGTTTAGGTTTTGCTTAATCCCGTGTCAAAGTGGTGAGTCTCGCTACGATCAACAGTTTTGCTAGCAAAAAGGGAACTGATGTGTCAAATAGTACTGGTCAGTTTTGCTCAATGCATAAGCCCCAAGTTGGGAAAAATCCCTAATTCTTCCTGTAATAGCTCTCCCCTCCCTTCTGTATCTGTATCCTTTCTGCCTCAGTTCTGTGGGAGAATGAAAACTCATGATTAATTCTGCACTGCCATCTAATGGCACAGTAAAGGCAGAGCCCTGGAAATTGGTTTCTTTATACGTTTTGAGGGGAAGCAAAAAGCAAAGCTTGGCTTTCTCAAAGGAGCAGTTAAGACTGTCCTTCCTGTGCCACCAATTCCCAGAGCAGTTAGCTTGACCATGAGGCCTTTAAAAAGAGAGTATTTTATTGAGAAATAGCTCCCTTAATCACAACTCTTAAGTGGGTTTGGAGGATGCTGTTTAGTTACAGAATAGTTGCTAAGGTATGCAGTGCAGGTGCATAGAAAGTGCATCTCCATTGCAGCTGTGGAGGAGGAGGTCCTCTGTCCGTTTTATTCTCCTAAATAAAGGTCTTTTAAAGCACCTCATCTTTACAGAGCCTGAGGAGAAAATCCATCAGCCAGGTTTTACCTGCAGTGGAATAGACAGGAGCTTGTTTTTCCTTAGCTCCTTGCTCTTGCCTAAATGAGTTCATGACCAACAAATGTGCTTTTATGCTCTGGAGACTAATGCTTCAGGGCAGCCCATTTTCCAAGAGCCTGTGAAAATCTGAGCCGTGTTCCAGGAGTCCTCTTTTCCCACCAGTCTTCCACCAATTCAGAAAGTCAAAGGTTTGCTTTCAGAGCTGGTGAATACAAATATCCTGTTCTACAGCTGCCTCGCTTGCCCTCAGGCCAGAAACTAGTGATTTTTGCCAGTTGAGGTAATATGTGAGCAGGAGTAGCTCTTCCTTTCAGGGACCTTGATTTATCCCCTTGCACCTGAAAAATGCATTGTGCATGCAGTCAGTCCAGCAGCATCCCAGCTGCACACATGCCATGCAGCCCTGCCCCACATTTCAAACCCAGAAACCACAGGCAGGCTTCCACCCCTGATGGTACTGCCTGAAAAAGCAGCTAGAGTTAGAAGCAGTAATGCAAAGGGAGCAAGGATAACAGCTCCCAGTCTCCCCACAAGATTTCACATCCAGACCTCAGAAAAGCCCTACTGTGGGTATTACTGTTTATCCACCCATCCATTCCTTCTATTGCACCTGACATCTCATTGCTGAACAAAATCACCAGCCAGAAGAGAGTTCATCTGCTGAAACACTCTTTTCCTCCTTGAAAACCCTCCTCTTCATCTGCCTTTCTTGGACTTAGGGACAGGGGACATGAGGAGGTAGCAGAGCTTTCCTTGCAGCCCACACAGCTGAGAGAGGGACCTTGTGCTTACTCCTAGTCTTGGATGTAGAGTCTGTCTCTGGGGTTTAATCAGTGAGAAATCTTCTCCCATGGAGCAGTGCACATCTCAAGTGATACATGAAGGGATGGGGCCCATCCACTTTAAGACACTGCTTTCTCCTTCAATATCCCTGCGCTCTCTGAGTCCAGTGCCAAAGGGATAGTTTCCTGCTGTGGGGAGTCACAGCCCAGCATCCTCTCTCTGCTCTGAGGGTACTTGGAACATTTGGTTGCTTCTTTCCTTTGCAACACACTGTTCTGCCCAGGAGCAAGGGCTGCCAAGGCACCTTTTCTGCTCCTTGCACTGCTGTGACAGAGAAGCCCTGCACACACACACACACACACACACACACACACGCAGAGCTCTCCTGGCTGGTTTCTTAGCCCTTTCCCTGTTGCAGCCTCAGCAGGAGGCATCTGAGGGAACAGGCTTGAGGCCCCTTTTGCTGGTATTTGAAAGTGATGCCATTCTGCAGATTGCTGTCTTGGGGGTGAACAGAAAAATAAAGGCAAACCCAGCCACATCCCTGCCAGCTGCCTGACAGGGAAGAACATCCAGCCTTGCTGGAAATGTGATGAGAGGCAGAACAGGAAGAATGGTGTTCACAGTGAGTTGAGCTACAAAGCACCAGTGTGAAGAGCTGTCAGTCTCCAGTAGCACTGCAGGAACGTCACCAGCTTTGCAACATGGCAAAGAAAATACATGACTCCAGCAGACCTCTGGCTCTGCACTTGTGGGCTAAAGCCAAGCTGTCCTCAGTGTGGGGCTGCACCAGACAGCCCATGGCACTCACTGCTCAGCCCTCCTCACTACTGCCCAGCTCTCCCTAGAGACGATTGCTTACACATGCCATAGAGGCTTGATGTTAAACAACATTTTCAGCTGCTTCTCCCCACCTCCTACCTAGATGTTTAGCTCATGGAGGTTCCTCTTTCTCCACTGACAGTAGAGCCCTACTTGCAGGCATGGAGAGAAAGGGGCTTTTCTGTCAGGATTTATAAGCACAAGAGGTGAGATTTTTTTCCACATACCATCAGCACTAGTTTGACTTTCTAGTGTTCCTTGAGCAGCCAAATTAAAGATACCAGTTTTACTTGAAAACAGTCATTTTTGTCTGAGGGTCTGCCTTGCCCATAGCACCACAGGGTGGTAATAGTGGGCAGGCTTTTCCTGCACCTTTCCTGAGCAGTCAGCAACTTTATGCTGAACATTTCCTGTAGCCCCACAAGTAGCTTTTCTAGAGCTGGTGCTCTAAAAACCAAGCACGTAGTATGAGTGCATTGTAAAAAGCTGAGCAGAATAAAGCAATAAGCCAAACAAAAAGCAAAGGGGATGGAGGGATTTCACACCTTGTGTAGCTGGAAGGCTGAGACCCAGAGACCGGATTGACATCTCCCATGGTGCAGGCAGCATGAAGGAACAAGCCATGGTCTTGAGCTCCAGTCTCAGTGCCTGGTTACGTGGCTTTGAGTGGCCTCTGATCTCCTCCATGTGAATTTCTCTTTGCAGTTTGCTCCATCTTCACAAGCTCGACTCCCGAGTGCCAGATGAGCTGCTGTACGGGCGCATGGGCTATCTCTATGCACTCATGTTTGTGAACAAGCACTTTGGAGAGGAAAAGATCCCTCAGAGTCACATTCAACAGGTACCGTGGCTGCTTCTGACTTTTTAGCTGTCTCCTATGCAGCTTATCTTTGGGAAGGTAAAAATCAATGCTAGATATAGAGAACTCTGGCAACAAGGGAGAAACCACATCACAGTATTACTGCTGCTCTTCCAAAGGGACAAAGCACAAAATGCACCCCCACCATCCATACATTTCACTCCCTCACCCACACTTCCCTCTGCTTGGGCAGCAAACGAACTCTGTTGTTGTGGTCAGGATACTCACTGTGCTGTGTCCAAGCCAGCAGCATTTCCCTCACCAGCATCTGTTCCCATCCACAGGTCTGTGAAGCTGTTGTTGCCTCAGGAGAAAGCTTGGCCAAAAGGAGGAACTTTACAGCAAAGAGCCCACTGATGTATGAGTGGTACCAGGAGTACTATGTAGGAGCAGCCCATGGTTTGGCTGGGATTTACTACTATCTCATGCAGGTAAAAGGCACTGGAGAGGAGGGGCCTTTAGCAGCTGTTTCATGTCTCTTTGAACAAGGAGGAGCAATTGAATTAGCTCTTGGTGATGCCAAGCTGGGCCAGATCCCTTGTCTTATGGACTTATTCCTGTGTTTGAGCACAAATCTCCACTTCTAAAGGTTTTCTTTGAGTCTGTGAGATTGAATTTCCCGCCTCTGTGGAGATCTGTAGAGAAATGTGACCTGCATTATACCAGCAGTTTCACATAATGGAGGCCTGTAGGTCAGCTGGGTCTGAGCTTCCCCCTCCTTCCTTAATTGCTTATGAAGTATTCCCATTTGTTGGCATCAGTGGGATTCCTGCAATCCTGAGGTGGTGCATTTGCAGATCATAACAGAGTGAGAATCTCTAAGAAAACTATGGTCAAAGAGATTGTGTTGATCACAGGGAAGTGGGAAATGCCTTTGTTTCCAAATTGGGGCCTGCATCTAAGGTGGCAATTCCCCTCTGTGGGTCACTGTGCATAAATTGACAGTGCTTAAGCTCTTAGAAAAACAACATCAATAAATAACATTCCATTTTTAAAGCATTATGGGCACCCACTGAGCAAGGCAGATTATTTTAACATAGCAATATTCATAGAAATAGGTGAGATCTTTTATTAGACCCAACTCTCACAGCAGGTGGAAAATAAGCCACCAGAGGTTTCAAGTATTTGAGCTTTGCTTCAGGACCCTCAAAGTTCAAGCCCATCCACAGGATAAGCAGAGTTCCTGTGAACAGAACCCCCTTATGTGACTCAGAGAGGAAGGGGTGGTTGGTGATGTTTAAACAGAAGGAGAATGCAAGGTGTACAGAGCAGCAAGTTGGGAACAGGGGAGGCAGCAGTGTGCTGTGAGCTCAAATGTGCACCAAGTCCCTGCACTTGTTCCCAAGCTGATGTTTTAAATCATTGTAAGTGTAAGCCCCCCATAAATCCTGCATGGGCTTCATGCTTCTCTGCTGTATGATGTACAGGGAGGCAGGATCAGCCAAGCAGGATGCATAAAAAGCCTCGGGGGAAACAAACATGGGAAATAGGGAGAAGAGGACAGTGGACTTTTATCTCTAATCGTTTTACAGCACAAGTGTTGATGTTGAATTTTCAAGTTCAACCTGGGAACAGTATGAGCCTTAGATGGGAGCGCTCGCTGCAGCCTGCAGTGGGATAGTTGAACTGCACACATTGCATATGGGGCAGTGTCATTGGAAGAGGACACTGAAGTCACTCTCTTGCTTCCATCTGAGGTCAGCAGCGAAGTCACCCCCTTGCAGTTACCCAGAAACAGCTGTGAAAATGCAGCATCACAGCTTGGTAGCTCAGAGCTGAGATGCTATAGGTGCTAGAAATCAGTCCTGGTGTTACCACAGAATCATAGAATGGTTCAGTTTGGAAGAGAGCTTAAAGCTCCTCCAGCTCCAACCCCCTGCTGTGGGCAGGGACACCTTCCACTAGAGCAGGTTGCTCCAAGCCCCTGTGTCCAACCTGGCCTTGAACACTGCCAGGGATGGGGCAGCCACAGCTTCTCTGGGCACCCTGTGCCAGCGCCTCAGCACCCTCACAGGGAAGAGCTTCTGCCTCAGCTCAACCCAATCTCCCCTCTGGCAGATTAAAGCCATTCCCCTTGTCCTGTCCCTACAGGCCCTTGTAAAAGGATGCCCTTGTATTCATCCCTAATTCTGATTTTAGACTGCTGATCTCTTTACTCCAAGTCTGGGTACCTGAAACTATTCCTACCTATGTTCAGGAGAACCAGCAGCAAGCCCTCTTCCTTAGAGGTCTAGATTACATGCCAGGGCAGTCTGCAAGCAAATGACTGGAGATAAGTCTCTGCAGAAGGACAGAGCAGCCTGGGGCCAAGTGGGTATTTGTGATGTGTGACAGCCTGAACAAAAGAAGTACTTCATTTACAAGGAGCAAGAGGGGACCATGACCACAGTTGGCTTTGTTTCTGCCTTTCAGGAAGATCTTGGGCCTCTTGGGGATAGACAGAATGGTAATTCTCCCTGATTTAATGCTTTCTATCTCTTAGCCTGGCCTTGGAGTAAGCCAAGTAAAACTGCACAACACAGTCAAACCCAGCGTGGACTACGTCTGCCAGCTCAAGTTCCCTTCAGGCAATTACCCTCCCTGCATCAATGACACCAGAGATCTACTCGTCCACTGGTGCCACGGGGCACCAGGTGTTATCTACATGCTTCTCCAGGCCTACAAGGTACCAGAAATCTTGCAAAGACCCTTTAGGAGTCCCTAAATGTGGAACTCCGTCATGGAGAAGACTCTCTTGAGACCCTGTCTGAGAGTAGGATTGCTGGTTACAGTGAAATGACCCCATGGGGACCACTGACTGATACAGAAAGCAGTCTCTTGAAAATTATCTCTGAAAATAGCCATCAGCTGCATTGGGTGTCCTGTTGCAGGTGACTGGTGACAACTAGTGCAAAGTAATGAACACACAGCCCCATTCATCATATCAAAACCATCCTCCTTTAAAGTAGAGAGCAAAGTCATAGCATTAAGACTTCAGAAGGAGAGCAACTCATTAACCCAAGCTTCCCCATCACACATGGATGCTCTTTGTGTGGAGGAAACTGCCTCAGTAAGGGGGAATATTTCATGTCTCTACAGGTCTTTGGGGAACAGCAGTACCTAAATGATGCCCTGCAGTGTGCAGAAGTGATCTGGCAGTATGGGCTACTGAAGAAAGGCTACGGCCTGTGCCATGGCGCAGCTGGCAATGCTTACAGCTTCCTGGCACTGTATAACCTCACTCAGAACATGAAATACCTGTACAGGGCCTGCAAGGTAAGAGCCTGTGTGAGGAAGGGAGAGGGGATTATTCACTTCTATCTTTTACATCACTGCCATTGCCTTTGAAACCCAATTTCTAGTGTGGCAGAGATGCAGCTCAGATCTGAGCAGCTCCACCAGAGTGGGGTGACTGTGCTCCTTCAGCAGCACAGTCACTGTCTGACAGTCTATAGAGAAGGAACATCCTGCAGAAGCCTTGCTCTGCAAGCGATAATGTGAGCATGAGGGTGGTATTTTAAGATCTGTCTTTAACAAAACTTCAACACCTTTTGTTCCTCTCTCCTCAGTTTGCAGAGTGGTGTTTCAGCTATGGCCAACATGGGTGCCGGACTCCAGACACTCCATTCTCTCTCTTTGAAGGTAACCTCCATCTCTAGGCTTGTGTTTTGCTCCTGGGTCTGAGCCAGTCCAGCACCAAAGAAATCCAGATACATGCTCCACTGAAGTCTGCAAAACTCAGAGAATGGGAAGGAAATTGTATTCCCTATTTGTACCCTTTCCCCAAAGCAGTCTTCTTGCAGCATAGGCTGTCTTAGCTGGAGCATCTTGTCCTCTTTGGCCTCTTGCACAGATTCTGGGCAGTTACCTCAGTAGGGATCTGAGCCAACACCACCACAGGGTCCAAAGTTCTGCAACAATACTCATTGTTAAACCTGTGGACAAGTAAAGCAGAAGGGAGAGAAGTGGAGGGGGGAAGACCCATCATGTTTTCCCAGGTGCTTTTCAGCTTCAAAATGCGTTCCCCAGTGGCATACTGAAGTTGCTTGGGAATCCTGGGTGATGTTTAGGACCTTCTGAAAATATCTTCCTTTCTTCTGTCTCCATGAGTCATTCAGGCCCTGATAAAATGGGTGTCCATAGGGAATGTCTCTGAAGCACATTGTGTTTTCTGACCCTCAGGAATGGCTGGAACGATTTACTTCCTTGCTGACCTGCTGGTGCCAACCAAGGCCAAGTTCCCTGCATTTGAACTCTAAACCTGAGTTTGGCAGTTTCCTGCCTGAATCCTTCTGCACTTGGAAAAGCAGTTTGGAGCAGCTTTCTCCTCCTTCCGAACTGTTGTTTGTTCACCTAACTGAAGGGAAACCCATCCTCCTGAGGGCATGCTGAGTTCTCTAATACTTCTAGTCATCTCATTGCATTGCTTCCGTTTAAAAGACTGAATGCAGGTTTGGCTGGTGTCTCTTAAAAACAGAGGGCTGCAGGTGGGAGCAGGGAGAAAATACACAGGATTGGGTTGGCTACAGAGTTTTGCCATTTCCGGTATCCCATTTTCGGTATCCCATTTCCTGGGTGAATGTTTTCTATTGAATGCATCTTTGGCTATTTATTTTTTTTGTGCTGACAGATACTAGCAGGAATTTAGTCACCTTTGGAAAACAAAAGATGAAAAACTGGGACTATTGCCCTGCAAGTTGCTTGTTTTCCTGTCGGAACACCCAGGGAGCAGGCAGTTCAGTACCTGGGCTGCTCCACGTAAAGCAAATGTGATGGGCTGTGGAGACTTTGTATATGTTTTTTAAGCATCAAATTGCAAGTGGCACAGCTGGGACTGTCCTGAATTCCCACTCACCTGCTTTAAAGGCAAAGGCTATGTATAGCTTCTGTGCATTTTTTCCCAGTGACAAATGATTCACTAGTTTTTGTGCCTATTTGCCACGTTATGCTAAACCTTGCAAAGCCCATTCACCATCTAATGGCAAACTCCAGTCTAAAAGTGAGCTAAGCATGCTTGCTGGTGTGGTCTCTTCTGCTTAGCTTTGAAGGTTTATTTTGCAGTCTTTCTTTAGTTGTGTATGAATGTGATAGGTGGTGCCAGGCCCACCAGCAGCATAGGAAAAGCAATGTATTCCACTGAGTTCTGCCAGCATTTAACCTATTCCCTGTATGGATGTTGTTTACATGCTTTCTTTTATAAGCTTTCTTGAACCTGGATAATTTGAGTCACTTGTTTGCCTTGTTACTGCTTCTTGTAGCTTGATATGCAACAACACATCCACCCACCTGGAACATCTGCTCTAGGTTAAATAGCTTTGACCCACCGAGCCGATCAGATACTTGCAAGGGACCTGACCCTATAAACAGCATTCTTAGCACTGATCATGAGCTGAACGCTGAGCACAGTGAGTTACTGATGCAGCTATAGTGATTTATGCTGTTTGAGAGCAGCTCCTCAGCCTGCACACAAGTGGATGTGGGTTTTGATCTTTAAGGGCCCAGTTGCTGGGTGCCTCAGGCCACCTAAGAGCAGGTGAGCAGCTGCAGGGCAGCACAAGCAACCTCCAAGCCAGCACTCCTGCACCAGTGATAGTGAAGCAGAAGGACCAAACCTGGCACACTAACACAGCTAGCTGACGTGCTTGAATGCAAGGTAGCCTAGCCACAGCATAGGCAGACCCTCAAGAACCTCCTGGATGGGCTGCTCCAGCAAAGAGTAGAAACTATTCCTGGAAGGCTGCCTGTTTCCTCAAAAAACAGCCTCCTGCTGCCATCACATGTTTCTGGAAGTTCATCCAAAGACAGCCTGAAATGCAGAGAAGCTCAGTCTGCTTTGGGCTGGGCATCCTTGTCAGAAGCCTCAAGCTCATGCAGACCTTTCCCTATCATTCACAGAGCCTAAACACCACAGGGAGGTGACTGGAAAGGAGGAAGCACAGCCCTGAGGGCGGGATTTGGCTAATCGAACAGTTTGGGGGTAGCATCCTGTAGTACATGAGGCCTTGCTGTCAGTTACCTCCCAGCTTGGCTGGTGTGATGGCAGTGCAGGACACTGCTCTGAGCCTGGGTTTCTTCTGGGCACTGCCGCTGCAAAGGAGGTGGATCCTGCAGCCTGCTGCCATGGCAGCATCAGGTCCCAGGGTTGCTATGTTGATGGTCAGGGGATCATCAGGGTACAGCTGTGAGCTGGTGTACATGTGTTTTGTGGAGCACTGTTTAATAAAAACACCAAAACTAATGAGCTTTGCATTGTTTTTACCTCCCACTTTGTGACCAGGATTCACGTCCAAAGAAGTCAAGATATGCCACAACAGCTGTTCTGAGGGCTCAGAGGCCTCCCACCCACCCTGAGTGTTAGGAGCATTTCACATCTTTCCCTGTCTCCAATCCATCAAGGCCAGTCCTGTGCTTTCCCTCCCAGGCTCTGCTTTTCTCCCAGGACAGCCTCCTGCAGCGCTGCCTCTATCCAAGGCCACATCCTCCCTGCTATGGCTTCCATTAGAGGCCAGAGTCTTGCAGGTTAGTCTTAATTGCACCAAAATGCCAGTGTGCAGCTCTGGCCACCAGAGAGAGGATGTGGATCCTCCCAATAAAGCTCCTACCCCAGTGGAAGGAGGAACAGGCTGTGATTGCCCAGCACCAGAGGCTTCAAGCCCAGACTGTCAGGAGCAATATGGGTAAAAGTGATCCTGCCCTCCACAACAAGCAGAAATTAGGTTGGTTGAGGTCCTATACAGCCTGGTTTTCTACAGTTTCCATTCCTGTTAAGGTTCGTGTTAAAGCTCTTCAGGGAGGGTGTCCAGCAATTGGGATGGGAAAGCAGCACAGTGCAGTTTCTCTGGTTGCCCTTCCTGTCTCATACAGGGGGCTGTGCTGCCCACTTCCACATGTCTATGTGCCATATGCAAGCAGGAGCAAGACAGAGCCTGAGAACACACCAACTCGTGCTTCAACAAGCAGCCTGAGAGGGGCTATATTGGAAGTGTAGACATTTAACACTCAGTTCTTGGTGTTGGGTATGTTTGTCCATGGTGGTGGTCTGTATTGTAAAAAGAAAACAAATCAAGTGCCTTATAATACCAAGAAATAAGAACCCCCCCACATTTTGAATGCATTTCCATCTGGCTCAGTTTGTGTATCCCCTCTTCTAGTCTGGTTTTTGCCACCACACTAGAATACCTTGGCCAAATGGGAGTGAGGTTTTCTGATTGTAACACCCGAGGGAATGTGGCTGGTCCCACTGTCCTGCTCCAGGCCAGGAAGGTCCCAGCACATGCAGTTGATTTGTTGCAAGAGATTTTATGTTTAAATAAGTTATTTCTTATAGGGAAGAACAACTCAGGTTCCTCATGTGTTTCTGCCCAGAATGTCTGAGCCCTTTGGCAAAAGTGTCCCCTGCATCAAAAAAACCCTGAATGGAAGACCTATACCCAGACCAGGAAATCTAAACCCCGAGAATTACAACTTGCAACATTATGAAGTGGCTGAAGACAAAATCCAATAGAGCAGGAGGCAGATCTGCCCAAAACAAGCGCCTGAGGAAGGATACATTCATACAATCAGCCGGGTTGGAAAAGGCCTTTAAGCTCATCCAGTCCAACTGTTCCCAGCACTGCCAAGGCCACCACTAACCCCTGGCACTGGGGCCTCATCTACATGGCGTGTGAACATGCTGGGGCACATCTAGGCTGGCCCCTGGCAGGGACACTGGCTTCTGGGGGCCTCCAGAAAAGGCTGGGTGGCCCCAGCAGGTGGCAACGCAGCCCGACAGCAGCAGCCACCCAGCCACAGCCAAGCACCCCTGCCTGCTAAATCCTACCTGAGAGAGCTGGGGTTCAGCTCTTGGGTAGCCCTGGGAATGTCAGTCAAACCACAGGGCATACACAGGTGAGGCTGTACTGGAATACTGTGTGGGATGACAGAGATGTGGAAGCCCTTCCACACTGTGGAATGTGCAGGGCCTCTAAGTGAGCCAGATGTCCTTAGAGCAGCTTCCCACCAACATGGTACAACCCGATGGCACAACTGACCTTTGAAAGCAGAGGATGAGCATGAAGATCTCTATGTCCCTGGGCAGGTGCAAGGCACAGCTGCTTTGAGAGCTGAGGAGGACCATCACATCTTGGCATCCCGCAGGATTTTTCCTGTTTCAGAATCAAAACCACTCCCTCAAAAGCTGTTGGGGAAAAGCAGAACAAAAGCTCTCAATACAGCTGCAGTTTCAAGACAAAGCTTGCTATTGCCTCACCCACAAAGCTTTGTACTGCCAAGTGTTGGTCAAGCCAGCTTTCACTCCCAGTGTGGTGGTCCCTGCTGTTTCCTCCTGCAGCAGATCTGCCTGAACACACTTCTAGTTTTCCCTCTCTCCTCATCCCCTTCTTATGCACTCCTTTCTGCGTCCGTGCTGCCCCTTTTGGGCAAGAGGGTGGTGGATTTTACTCTGCATCACTTCACAAATCCAGCGTACAGCATCACAGCAAGGGGAAGGCAAAATGCCATGTGGAAGGAAGGCAAAAACCACAAGGAAACCTGCACCCTCCCTGCATCTCGTGGGGAGCAAGCACTTGAGAATAGCCCAGGACCACCCAAGAGCAACCTCATCCCCAGTATTTGGGCCATCTAGATGCTAAGAGTTGCCAGCAGAAAGGGAAGAAGAAGATTACGTTAGTTTTCACATAGCCTCAACTCCAGAGGCACAAGAGGCATTTGTTTCTGCCCCTCTCTGTGCTGGATGGGACGCCTTCACCCACAGACACTGAGCATTCCCTCTGCTTCCCCCAGAAGGTGAAAGATGGCAAATTTAGCCAAAAAGCACAATAGATCCTGTAATGAATGGCCACCCTTGACACCTGTGGATGACAGTACATTGCTCTGCTTCCGTCTTCAGACAGACAGTGATGGAGAAGGCACAGAGGCCACACTAAAACCAACTTGAAAGCCCTAAGAAAGGAATGTGGGGAGCCATTTAGCTCCATCTCCTCATGGCTGGGGAATTTCTCGCTGGCAGGACACGTGTCAGGCAGCCCTTGTGAAAAGCTCTTTCTGCAGTCACTTTGCTGCAGCATTTGCAGTGATCTCGGGCAGTAACTGAATCCACTGGTAGTACTTTGCCATCCATAAATTCCATTGGAGCCGGGCCCATAAATAGTTACCCTGGAGTATGCAGCTGCATGCAGGGCAGGAGCAAGTGTTCCACATAACGGCTGTTGGCTCTGATCAGATTGAGGAGTCAATCATATTTCCACCATTTGGCTGAGTTTTATAGTTATCCCTCCTTAGGGATACCCCTCACTGGTGAAGGGGAGACCCCAGTAGTTGCAAATGGCTTCCTTGCACGGGATACCCAAGGCACCCTTTAGGTGCAGGGGTTCCCCCTATTCCCAGAAGCTTTTTTGGAGCTGTTTTGTAGTGCTTTACTCTGTCACTGAGGTGCTGCTCCTCCACACTGATGCTCCCAGTAGTGGAGAAGGGATTGATCTGATCATTACAAGTGGCTGGGAAAATTAAGAGAGAGAGATCACGGAAGACAAAGTCTAGGAGACTGCAAGAGGGTCACTGTGAAACATCAGCTTTGGATGAGAGCATCTCCTATATCC